GTGAGATAGAGAGATTACGACCGTGAGATAGAGAGCTTTCGACCGTGAGGTAGAGATTTAGACCGTGAGAGACAAGATTCGTGCGTGAGGGAGAGATGTCGACCGGGAGAATGAGATGTCGACCGGGAGAATGAAATCTGGACCATGTGATTGAGATTGTTACCGTGATAATATGAGATATCGAACGTGAGAAAAATATCTCGACCGCGAGAATGAGACCCCGACCGTGAGGATGAGATCGCGACTGCTTAATCTCAATAACATTCAGAAGGTGTGTGTGAGCGAGATCTCTACCGAGTGATACGCATCTGCACGAGGAGCTTTAGTAGACATCCCAATAATGGAATTTTACTACGAAAAGGAAGTCACAAGCTCGGGCTGCTAGATACAGAACTCCTTTGGTGGCGATGACGGCGGGTGCGGCACTGAGTCAGGTTTGAACGGAATAGATGATACGAGCCGCGTTCGTTCGGGGACCGCTTGGCAAACGAGCTGAGATGGATATTTAGAGTTGCTTCTAGAGTAACATACGCGGAATAGCAGTGATAGGCGACTCACCATTAGCTAAGTAGAACGGGTAGGAGGGTGGCTCACCTAAGACGTGAAGAATGTCGAGCAAGATTGGGAAGAGAATGTTTGTGGTGGGGAATGTCTTTACTCAACTGGTAGAGGAATTGGAATTCACGCCTACATCTCATGCTAGAAAAAAGGCCACGCAAATTCCAGGAAAATACAATGGCATTAAAGGCAATTCATGCCCACCTTAATGCTGCAACACTCCTGTCCATGCACACCATCAGTAATGCTGTCAAGTGCTGCAGTTGAACAGTGATGACTGTGGGAGGTATCATTAGTTGCCCATTGTTGATATTATGGATGGATTCATGTGCCCCTCACATGATGGAAGTGACCACAAGTGGATAGGAATTTGCTTAGCTGGGCATCACCTAACAGTGATTTTGTTTGGATGCAGCCATCAAGACCCCATATGACATGTGAGGATTGATCATATAAAGCACAAGTTGCATCAAATTCCATGGTCAAGTGGTATTGGGGTGGATTGTTGGCATGCATTTTGTGAGAACTAGAGCCACCAAGTCAGCTGGAGATGGTGCATATGAGATGAGTGGCTCAGGTAGACTCAGATTGTTTGTTATGAGACAAATCCATCTAGCCTAACCCCTAATAAACAAAGTGGAACATGCCACACTCTATATAAGAGCCCAGCAGAGACAACATGCTAGATGCTCTAATACTATGGCCTGGTTAGCTCATGCTACATGTGTTTGCCATGTTTGTGAAAAAACCCTTATTTTCACCGCGGCATTGTCTTTCAAGCTATGTTATTGATTGCAGAAGTAGGCGACAACCTCCTCACGTTATCAATAGGGGCCAAACGGATCGACAGGCCGTGCGATAGCTTCTCTTTAAGTCACCGAAAATTAGGGTACCATATTCCTTTCCATGCGCAACCCACTTGTGGGGTGAGATGAAGTTATTACGCATGTTCTCTTATTATTACACTTTGTTACAATTTGACTTTGTGGCGATACATGCGGCGAATGTTGCAATTCTAGTGCTGGTATTTCTCATAACAACCCTTGATTGCCTTACAAACATTATTTGAAATTTTAACTATATGATTGTTCATCGTCGTTGCATACCTGTACATTTTCCAGGCATCTCTGACGAGTCAATGCTCAAAGGACCCTTTCTCGGATGTGTCAAGTGGGTACAATCGCAAGACTATTCGTGCGAGTAAATACCCGAAATAACACATGCCTCATATGGTGAACGTAAAATAGTCCCACCCTCAAATGGACTCAGACGACTTCCAAGTTGGTGTGCTGGTGGTGCAGCCTACAGCCGTCTGGCCCGTCGCCAGATGGGTCCTCGAATGTGCCTCCCTTGCTCACCGACTGCGACAAGCACGATGATGCAGACATAAATGAAGTCAAACTCTCTCCTCCTACTGTGCCCCGACCGGTGACTTTGTTGCCATCACCTTCACCGCCCGTCGTCGACGTTTCATGGAACGGATCCTCCTAGGCCGCCGGCGATGAGGGGATCCTTGGTGCGTCACCTACGGCCCGACCGGAGCGGAAATAACTTTATCAACGCGCGTTAGACTGCGGGCTAGGCACGGGTGCTCATGTGATCTCTGCGTTCCATTGTCGTTCCATTGGGCGCACACGAGTTGACAGATTCTTTGTGAAATTTTGCCAGTGTTTGACTAAGGAAAGCCGACAACAATGGTAGCAACAACCTTGGCAACAATGATTACATCAGAGCTAGCAAGCAAGTCGGTCGACCTCCAGCGCAGCACGGTCGACCGCGATCCAGCGGAGCATAGCTCGCACCGGTCCAGCCCTGAAGAGAAGCGGCTTGCCCACGTTGCAAGTCCACGGTGTGCCAACGTTGCAGCAAGTCTGCTGCACAGCGCTGCACCCACATGACATCGGTGCACCTGACTCGCAGCTGTTCTCAGCTGGGGGGTGCTCCACGTAGGTCACCAGCGAGAAGTCCCACCTGGTCGTGATAGCTGTGGCTTCACCAGCAACTTCAGGCGACAAGCTGCGTAGAGTGCCGAAAATGCCAGTCGCCGTCGACACCAACGCTGAGCTCAAGCAACACGACGAAGGAGTACAGTCGTACAGAGTACTGATAGAAGGTCAGCTTGCTGCAGTTCGCGTCCACCTCGATGAGGCTCGACCTTGCCTTCGCTTGCAGCTTGCTCAATTCTGGCCTGACAGTGCAGAGCGACAACAACTAGCGTGAGTTCGATCGTTGACTGCTCTACCTCCACATGACGAATTTCGCAGCCGCCAGACTTCCGTAGAGTATTTTGACGAATGCTCCGTCGAGCAGCTTTCGCCTGGTAGACCGCCAGCACGGCTTGGTCGACCGACAGCACAACTTGGTCGACCGCCTGCCACCGTTGGGTAGAGGAGCCGCACCATCACGGAGGTCAACGGCGTGCCAACGCTGCAGCAGAGCTGCTGTCCAGCGTTGCCCCGTAGAAGACAGCAGTCCGCAGGCTCACTGATGCGCCCCGACGACTGGGCCGACTTGCATTGCTGTGCATCCGTCTGCTATTGTCTGCGACTGTCGAGCAGGTTACCTGGTCAACCAGGACACCACCAGGTGCTCTGCTCGTCGATCAGGTGTCGTGATCGACCACCAGGTGCTCTGGTCGACCACCAGGTGCTCTGGTCGACCACAGCACCGGTCTAGCCACACCCCGGTCGACGTACCCCTTCCGTTGACCAGAAGTGTAAGCTGTCGGGGCCGAGCTCCCATCGTCGACTGCCACGTACATCTCAGGTCGACAGACTGCTCCGTCGGCTTCCCGGTCGAACTGAAGGTCAACGGACTGCTCCGTCGACCTCCCGGTCGAACCACAGGTCGACGTACTGCCCTGTCAACCTCTCGGTCGAACTGCCCCACCTGGTCGACGGCCCACCCGTCGCCCAGACCGGTCAGTTGCAGCTATCAAGCTCCCTAGTCAACAGCAACAACACAGTCGTCCCCTGCAGCTCGACGAAGCCTGACGAGCAGCTGTCCCACTGTGCACAGTAGGCTGCTACTCCCCCAACCAAGTCGTCGGCATGGCGCAAGCGAGGGCGGGGCCAACGCTCCATTCGCGTTAACACTTTCTGCGCGCAGTCTACGTCGACTTATGCGCGCCCCCGACTACGCAGTCTGCTACGTTCAAGCGAGAGCGTGGACATTTCCAATCAATACATACGACATTGCGTAGCTGCACGAGCGACGACAAAGGCGGAAAAAGTTTTGTAGCTTTACGCGACACACGGTTGATTCGAAGTTGGATCAGGGAAAGTACCTCATAGAGTACATGGATAGCTAGTACGTTTCGCATTCAATTGTAGTCATAAATAAATGAAAGTAAGAGCTTCTTTCTATCGACTGTGTCCATCTAGATTCACTGTGATCTGAGGTCACAAACTTCCGTTGCAATACTATGATCTTGCGAACCTTGCTGACGTGATTATAGGCACGATCCACCTTCTGATCGCAACACCTTGTTGAAAGTCTACTAGTACATGCCATCGCAACCCTGCAGCTGTACATCTATACAAAAGCTTTATGTAAAAAATTATAAGCGGACTGAATTCATTCATAGTGGACGTAACCTTTATGCCCTGACGACTATGCGTGTCGCGGGTGTGCCATGCACTACTGGTGTAGATTCACCTTGAACAGCAGCCTATCAAGGCCAAAATTATGTTTTCAAACGGACTACACATGGCGATTACGCGATATCGTGACATATTACACCCTGACAAGGTGTCTTGATTTTAATTCACCCTTGGACACACCAAAACCCTAATTGCACCGGGAGTACTAAACTGCCAACGGTTTTAACCGTGCGCAAGAACCAGCAACAGTATATGATAGTTCAAGTGTCTAACAAAAGCCAAGGCTGTATGTTTTTTGCAACTCACTAAAAGATCTCACACTGCAACCTTGTAACGGGCGCTTTTCTTCATCTGGTTTGCGCTCAATACCCATCTCGACCTTCCAAAAACGTTTGTTACCGCTGTAAAACGTGAACAATCTATTTTAGCCGCATCCAAACGAACTAGAAGGGCGCGCCCTTAGGGAGTTCACGTAACTTCGATCTGACACTAAGATGTGCTGTCAAAGCGCCCCACACGTCGACCGTGAGATAAACTCTGCAGCTTGGACGATGCTGCGCAACTGGCGCGACCATCCCATCCCATCCCGTTCGACCATCCCATCCACCCAGGCTTTCTCTTTCTCCCAGCAACAAACACCTTTCTCCTTGTGTTACTTTCGCCATTCCTAGTTTTCTAATAACTGGGAAAATTAGTAGCCTCCTTTTGAGCTTCCTACGTGCCCGGGTTTCTAGGCTATTCATCTGGTACCTTAGGTGAGATTATGGCATATTAGTTTAGTTCTTACCAGATATCCCTACGGCCAATCAACCGATTCTCTGCCAATTCCTGAGTTTCACAATGCAGCCCGTGCCAAGTCCCTTCATAGCTGCAGTTCTTCCTAGAAGAGCCGCTGAAGCTACCTCAAACCCGGCTGTGGGTACCTTTGGCTCTCCGGAAGCCATCCCGATGCACAGCAATGGACGAGCCCAAGACGAGCCCGAGGACGACGTGTTTGCTGAAGGTACGTCTCACTCCTCGTAGCCATTCGTATGAACATGTGCCCTGCGCACTGTCGGATCAAACGACTTACTCTACAAAATGTACTTATTGCTACTTCTGTTTGTTTTTTAACCCTTTGCCACAGGCTCGAAATTCGTGTCGCTGAACAATGTGTCGATCACGGGTGGTACTAAGCGCCAGACCCGTGCGAGGAAACCTAAAGAAGTGCGGAAGGGGAAGCGTTCTACTTTCGTCCGCACGGGCAAGAAAGGCCGCGCTGATGCACTTGGTGATGGCGGTTGTGGAGCAGACACATACACTCAAGAGAATGGTCAACATGCACATAACGCCTCCTTTCCAGCTGCAGCCGCCACTATCACTCCCTCCTCCGCCTATGTCAACGCAGCGGCGGCGACTCATCAGCTCGCCGCCACTCAGTCAGTCCCTGGCCTGCCCTCAGCCTCTGCCTCCCTTTCAGCTGCAGCCGCCACTATCACTCCCTCCTCCGCCTATGTCAGCGCAGCGGCGGCGACTCATCAGCTCGCCGCCACTCAGTCAGTCCCTGGCCTGCCCTCCGCCTCTGCCTCCCTTTCAGCCGCAGCCGCCACTATCTCTCCCTCCTCTGCCTATGTCATCGCGGCGACTCATCAGCTCGCCGCCTCTCACACAATCCCTGGCCTGCCCTCCGCCTCTGCCTCCCCTTCAGCTGCACCCGCCACTATCTCTCCCTCCTCCGCCTTTGTCACCGCAGCGGCGACTTATCAGCTCGCCGCATCTCAGTCATTCCCTGGCCTGCCCTCCGCCTCTGCCTCCCTTTCAGCTGCAGCCGCCACTATCACTTCTCAGAATCCCAACCACTAGACCATTGGGATAAAAGGGCTTGTTTAAGTAGCGGGTCAGTGCGCCCATAACCCCCCAGGCAACCGTGCCTGTAACCCTTCCCTAGGATCAATCGGGGATCACCAGTGGACCTCTGACACCCCCCCTAACTGGGATGCCCGAAGTGCACACACCGGGATTCGAACCCGAGACCTTCGCTCTGATACCATCTCAGAATCCCAACCACTAGACCATTGGGATAAAAGGGCTTATTTAAGTAGCGGGTCAGTGCGCCCATAACCCCCCAGGCAACCGTGCCTGTAACCCTTCCCTAGGATCAATCGGGGATCACCAGTGGACCTCTGACATCACTCCCTCCTCCGCCTATGTCAACACAGCGGCGACTCATCAGCTCGCTGCCACTCAGTCAGTCCCTGGCCTGCCCTCAGCCTCTGCCTCCCTTTCAGCTGCAGCCGCCACTATCACTCCCTCCTCCGCCTATGTCAACGCAGCGGCGGCGACTCATCAGCTCGCCGCCACTCAGTCAGTCCCTGGCCTGCCCTCCGCCTCTGCCTCCCTTTCAGCCGCAGCCGCCACTATCTCTCCCTCCTCCGCCTATGTCAACGCAGCGGCGGGGACTCATCAGCTTGCTACCCGGATCTCTCCCTCCGCTGCCTATGTGCACGTCTCGGTTCCTGGCCAGTCCAGGCCCGCCGTTGCACCTGGATCGACCTCCCTGCCACCTGCTCCCAGTGCACTCTCACCCTCGCCCTCCTATATCAATCCTGGGTTGCACCCAACCAGCTCAGGTCAGCCTGGCTCCGGCCTCATCCCACAAGCCTCTGCACCCCCTGCTGCCGCTGTGGCGCCCCCTACTGCACAATTGCAGCCGTCTGGACTCCCATGGGCACTCCGTGTGCGCAAACAGAAGTCCGCTCTCCCAGACCCTGGACCATCACATGTGGAGGCCGGGTCGGATGAAGGCTCCGACGATGATGACTCCTTCGAGAATGAAGTTGAGCATGATGGTGAACAGCGGCCTGCTACAACCAGGGTTTCGCGAGCCGCTTTTGAGGCCGCGCAAGCGCAAATCCGACAACAGGCGCGACGCATAGCTGAGTTGGAGAATCAGCAACCTCAGCAAAAAGGCCCTCATGCTGGCAGTCATGCCATGGATCAGCGCCAGGCCAACATGCCCAGCCCTTCCCGACAGTTGCCGGTTGCACCCCAGCTTGCTCCTTCAACCACTCGACCTTGCACCCAGCCAAATGCAACACCGACCCTGATTTTCTCACCAGTGGTGTGGCCACGAACGCAGGCCGCTTTTAGCCGTGCTGTGGCAAAGGCACACATCAGACGACAGGCCATCGACTGCTCTGCAATGTCGCCACGGCAACACGGGTGGTACAATTAACGTCATCACGGCGTTAGATGCTTTCCCGGATGTGAACGGGGACCTTAAGGTGAGCAGCAACCCTTCGTTTCAGCCTTCGCCGTGCTTACAAATGACATTAGCATTGGGTGCCTACATCCCCCACCCCGCAAACTCCTCATGCCACATACATTCACGCCCTCCCTTCCCTCCCCTGTTCTCTTTCCCACTCTGCCATGTTGTGCACAATTTTTGTTGCTCTCCTGCAGGACCACGTGGATGAGGCTCTTGATATCATGTTTTTTGACACCCCAGTCACTGATTTCACAATGTGGCCTAGTACCGAACGCCTAGAGGCGGCCCTGCGCAAGGCCCTAGGCCTCAATGAGCCGGAAGAGCATTTTATAGTGCGTATGGTTCTGAAAGCTGACAAGTACAGGAACGGCTACATTCGTGACATGATTCAAGCGTATCGCAACGACGCATTGACGGATGGGCGCAATTGGGTGTACGACGACTTCGACTTGTACGTGCGACGGCCAAGGCTCGGTGGGAAGAAAGTAGGCACCCTCACGACAGTGCTGTTCTTGGACCAGTACGTTGAAAGTGAGTATGCTTTAGTACTCCTATCACACCCCCGCCCCTACCCCACCCCCGTTCCTCCCTCTCCTTCCAAATGAGCCCGTACGTTGAAAGTGATTCCAGTGTACCCTCTTTCCCTCCCTGTTTTCCCCTCCCCACCCCAGCAGCAAGCAATGCCAGCCAAGGCAGAGCCCAACAGTCCCCAGTGTACCCTCTTTCCCTCCCTGTTTTCCCCTCCCCACCCCAGCAGCAAGCAAGGCCAGCCAAGGCAGAGCCCAACAGTCCCCAGTGTACCCTCTTTCCCTCCCTGTTTTCCCCTCCCCACCCCAGCAGCAAGCAAGGCCAGCCAAGGCAGAGCCCAACAGTCCCCAGTGTACCCTCTTTCCCTCCCTGTTTTCCCCTCCCCACCCCAGCAGCAAGCAAGGCCAGCCAAGGCAGAGCCCAACAGTCCCCAGTGTACCATCTTTCCCTCCCTGTTTTCCCCTCCCCACCCTAGCGGCAAGCAAGGCCAGCCAAGGCAGAGCCCAACAGTCCCCAGTGTACCCTCTTTCCCTCCCTGTTTTCCCCTCCCCACCCCAGCAGCAAGCAAAGCCAGCCAAGGCAGAGCCCAACAGTCCCCAGTGTACCATCTTTCCCTCCCTGTTTTCCCCTCCCCACCCCAGCAGCAAGCAAGGCCAGCCAAGACAGAGCCCAACAGTCCCCAGTGTACCCTCTTTCCCTCCCTGTTTTCCCCTCCCCCCCCAGCAGCAAGCAAAGCCAGCCAAGGCAGAGCCCAACAGTCCCCAGTGTACCCTATTTCCCTCCCTGCTTTCCCCTCCCCACCCCAGCAGCAAGAAAGGCAGCCAAGGCAGAGCCCAACAGTCCCCAGTGTACCCTCTTTCCCTCCCTGTTTTCCCCTCCCCACCCCAGCAGCAAGCAAGGCCAGCCAAGGCAGAGCCCAACAGTCCCCATTGTACCCTCTTTCCCTCCCTGTTTTCCCCTCCCCACCCCAGCAGCAAGCAAGGCCAGCCAAGGCAGAGCCCAACAGTCCCCAGTGTACCCTCTTTCACTCCCTGTTTTTCCCCTCCCCACCCCAGCAGCAAGCAAAGCCAGCCAAGGCAGGGCCCAACAGTCACCAGTGTACCCTCTTTCCCTCCCTGTTTTCCCCTCCCCACCCCAGCAGCAAGCAAGGCCAGCCAAGGCAGAGCCCAACAGTCCCCCATTGTACCCTCTTTCCCTCCCTGTTTTCCCCTCCCCACCCCAGCAGCAAGCAAGGCCAGCCAAGGCAGAGCCCAACAGTCCCCAGTGTACCCTATTTCACTCCCTTTTTTTCCCTCCCCACCCCAGCAGCAAGCAAAGTCAGCCAAGGCAGAGCCCAACAGTCCCCAGTGTACCCTCTTTCCCTCCCTGTTTTTCCCCTCCCCACCCCAACAGCAAGCAAGGCCAGCCAAGGGAGAGCCCAACAGTCCCCATTGTACCCTCTTTCCCTCCCTGTTTTCCCCTCCCCACCCCAGCAGCAAGCAAGGCCAGCCAAGGCAGAGCCCAACAGTCCCCAGTGTACCCTCTTTCACTCCCTGTTTTCCCCTCCCCACCCCAGCAGCAAGCAACGCCAGCCAATGCAGAGCCCCAACAGTCCCCCAGTGTACCCTCTTTCCCTCCGTGTTTTCCCCTCCCCACCCCAGCAGCAAGCAAGGCCAGCCAAGGCAGAGCCCAACAGTCCCCTGTGTACCCTCTTTCCCTCCCTGTTTTCCCCTCCCCACCCCAGCAGCAAGCAAAGCCAGCCAATGCAGAGCCCAACAGTCCCCAGTGTACCCTCTTTCCCTCCCTGTTTTCCCCTCCCCACCCCAGCAGCAAGCAAGGCCAGCCAAGGCAGAGCCCAACAGTCCCAGTGTACCCTCTTTCCCTCCCTGTTTTCTCCTCCCCACCCCAGCAGCAAGCAAGGCCAGCCAAGGCAGAGCCCAACAGTCCCCATTGTACCCTCTTTCCCTCCCTGTTTTCCCCTCCCCACCCCAGCAGCAAGCAAGGCCCAGCTCAGCAGAGCCCAACAGTCCCCAGTGTACCCTCTTTCCCTCCCTGTTTTCCCCTCCCCACCCCAGCAGCAAGCAAAGCCAGCAAAATGCAGAGCCCAACAGTCCCCCAGTGTACCCTCTTTCCCTCCCTGCTTTCCCCTCCCCACCCCAGCAGCAAGCAAGGCCAGCCAAGGCAGAGCCCAACAGTCCCCAGTGTACCCTCTTTCCCTCCCTGTTTTCCCCTCCCCACCCCAGCAGCAAGCAAGGCCAGCCAAGGCAGAGCCCAACAGTCCCCAGTGTACCCTCTTTCCCTCCCTGGTTTCCCCTCCCCACCCCAGCAGCAAGCAAGGCCAGCCAAGGCAGAGCCCAACAGTCCCCAGTGTACCCTCTTTTCCCTCCCTGTTTTCCCCTCCCCACCCCAGCAGCAAGCAAGGCCAGCCAAGGCAGAGCCCAACAGTCCCCAGTGTACCCTCTTTCCCTCCCTCTTTTCCCTCCCCACCCCAGCAGCAAGCAAAGCCAGCAAAAGGCAGAGCCCAACAGTCCCCAGTGTACCCTCTTTCCCTCCCTGTTTTCCCCTCCCCACCCCAGCAGCAAGCAATGCCAGCCAAGGCAGAGCCCAACAGTCCCCAGTGTACCCTCTTTCCCTCCCTGGTTTCCCCTCCCCACCCCAGCAGCAAGCAAGGCCAGCCAAGGCAGAGCCCAACAGTCCCCAGTGTACCCTCTTTCCTCCCTGTTTTCCCTCCCCACCCCAGCAGCAAGCAAGCCAGCCAAGGCAGAGCCCAACAGTCACCAGTGTACCCTCTTTCCCTCCCTGTTTTCCCCTCCCCACCCCAGCAGCAAGCAAGGCCAGCCAAGGCAGAGCCCACAGTCCCCAGTGTACCCTCTTTCCCTCCCTGTTTTCCCCTCCCCACCCCAGCAGCAAGCAAGGCCAGCCAAGGCAGAGCCCAACAGTCCCCAGTGTACCCTCTTTCCCTCCCTGTTTTCCCCTCCCCACCCCAGCAGCAAGCAAAGCCAGCCAAGGCAGAGCCCAACAGTCCCCAGTGTACCCTCTTTCCCTCCCTGTTTTCCCCTCCCCCACCCAGCAGCAAGCAAGGCCAGCCAAGGCAGAGCCCAACAGTCCCCATTGTACCCTCTTTCCCTCCCTGTTTTCCCTCCCCACCCCAGCAGCAAGCAACGCCAGCCAAGGCAGAGCCCAACAGTCCCCAGTGTACCCTCTTTCCCTCCCTGTTTTCCCCTCCCCACCCCAGCAGCAAGCAAAGCCAGCCAAGGCAGAGCCCAACAGTCCCCAGTGTACCCTCTTTCCCTCCCTGTTTTCCCCTCCCCACCCCAGCAGCAAGCAAGGCCAGCCAAGGCAGAGCCCAACAGTCCCCAGTGTACCCTCTTTCCCTCCCTGTTTTCCCCTCCCCACCCCAGCAGCAAGCAAGGCCAGCCAAGGCAGAGCCCAACAGTCCCCAGTGTACCCTCTTTCCCTCCCTGTTTTCCCTCCCCACCCCAGCAGCAAGCAAGGCCAGCCAAGGCAGAGCCCAACAGTCCCCAGTGTACCCTCTTTCCCTCCCTGTTTTCCCCTCCCCACCCCAGCAGCAAGCAAGGCCAGCCAAGGCAGAGCCCAACAGTCCCCAGTGTACCCTCTTTCCCTCCCTGTTTTCCCCTCCCCACCCCAGCAGCAAGCAAAGCCAGCCAAGGCAGAGCCCAACAGTCCCCAGTGTACCCTCTTTCCCTCCCTGTTTTCCCCTCCCCACCCCAGCAGCAAGCAAGGCCAGCCAAGGCAGAGCCCAACAGTCCCCAGTGTACCCTCTTTCCCTCCCTGTTTTCCCCTCCCCACCCCAGCAGCAAGCAAGGCCAGCCAAGGCAGAGCCCAACAGTCCCCAGTGTACCCTCTTTCCCTCCCTGTTTCCCCTCCCCACCCCAGCAGCAAGCAAGGCCAGCCAAGGCAGAGCCCAACAGTCCCCAGTGTACCCTCTTTCCCTCCCTGTTTTCCCCTCCCCACCCCAGCAGCAAGCAAGGCCAGCCAAGGCAGAGCCCAACAGTCCCCAGTGTACCCTCTTTCCCTCCCTGTTTTCCCTCCCCACCCCAGCAGCAAGCAAGGCCAGCAAGGCAGAGCCCAACAGTCCCCAGTGTACCCTCTTTCCCTCCCTGTTTTCCCCTCCCCACCCCAGCAGCAAGCAAGCCAGCCAAGGCAGAGCCCAACAGTCCCCAGTGTACCCTCTTTCCCTCCCTGTTTTCCCCCCCACCCAGCAGCAAGCAAGGCCAGCCAAGGCAGAGCCCAACAGTCCCCATTGTACCCTCTTTCCCTCCCTGTTTTCCCTCCCCACCCCAGCAGCAAGCAAGGCCAGCCAAGGCAGAGCCCAACAGTCCCCAGTGTACCCTCTTTCCCTCCCTGTTTTCCCTCCCCACCCCAGCAGCAAGCAAGCCAGCCAAGGCAGAGCCCAACAGTCCCCAGTGTACCCTCTTTCCCTCCCTGTTTTCCCCTCCCCACCCCAGCAGCAAGCAAGGCCAGCCAAGGCAGAGCCCAACAGTCCCCAGTGTACCCTCTTTCCCTCCCTGTTTTCCCCTCCCCACCCCAGCAGCAAGCAAAGCCAGCCAAGGCAGAGCCCAACAGTCCCAGTGTACCCTCTTTCACTCCCTGTTTCCCCCCCCACCCCAGCAGCAAGCAAGGCCAGCCAATGCAGAGCCCAACAGTCCCCAGTGTACCCTCTTTCCCTCCGTGTTTTCCCCTCCCCACCCCAGCAGCAAGCAAGGCCAGCCAAGGCAGAGCCCAACAGTCCCAGTGTACCCTCTTTCCTCCCTGTTTCCCTCCCCACCCCAGCAGCAAGCAAAGCCAGCAAGGCAGAGCCCAACAGTCCCCAGTGTACCCTCTTTCCCTCCCTGTTTTCCCTCCCCACCCCAGCAGCAAGCAAGGCCAGCCAAGGCAGAGCCCAACAGTCCCCAGTGTACCCTCTTTCCCTCCCTGTTTTCTCCTCCCCACCCCAGCAGCAAGCAAGGCAGCACAAGGCAGAGCCCAACAGTCCCCAGTGTACCCTCTTCCCTCCCTGTTTTCCCCTCCCCACCCCAGCAGCAAGCAAGGCCAGCCAGGCAGAGCCCAACAGTCCCCAGTGTACCCTCTTTCCCTCCCTGTTTTCCCCTCCCCCCCCAGCAGCAAGCAAGGCCAGCCAAGGCAGAGCCCAACAGTCCCCAGTGTACCCTCTTTCCCTCCCTGTTTTCCCCTCCCCACCCCAGCAGCAAGCAAGGCCAGCCAAGGCAGAGCCAACAGTCCCCAGTGTACCCTCTTTCCCTCCCTGGTTTCCCTCCCCACCCAGCAGCAAGCAGGCCAGCCAAGGCAGAGCCCAACAGTCCCCAGTGTACCCTCTTTCCCTCCTGTTTCCCCTCCCCACCCCAGCAGCAAGCAAGGTCAGCCAAGGCAGAGCCCAACAGTCCCCAGTGTACCCTCTTTCCCTCCCTGTTTTCCCCTCCCCACCCCAGCAGCAAGCAAAGCCAGCCAAGGCAGAGCCCAACAGTCCCCAGTGTACCCTCTTTCCCTCCCTCTTTTCCC